ATGACATGATACTATACATAGAGAATCCTAAAGATGCTACCAGAAAACTACTAGAGCTAATCAATGAATTTGGTAAAGTTGCAGGATACAAAATTAATGCACAGAAATCTCTTGCATTCCTATACACTAATGATGAAAAATCTGAAAGTGAAATCAAGAAAACACTCCCATTTACCATTGCAACAAAAAGAATAAAATATCTAAGAATAAACCTACCTAAGGAGACAAAAGACCTGTATGCAGAAAATTATAAGACACTGATGAAAGAAATTAAAGATGATACAAATAGATGGAGAGATATACCATGTTCTTGGATTGGAATAATCAACATTGTGAAAATGACTCTACTACCCAAAGCAATCTACAGATTCAATGCAATCCCTATCAAACTACCACTGGCATTTTTCACAGAACTAGAACAAAAAATTTCACAATTTGTATGGAAACACAAAAGACCCCGAATAGCCAAAGCAATCTTGAGAATGAAAAACGGAGCTGGAGGAATCAGGCTCCCTGACTTCAGACTATACTACAAAGCTACAGTAATCAAGACAGTATGGTACTGGCACAAAACCAGAAAGATCAATGGAACAGGATAGAAAGACCAGAGGTAAACCCACACACATATGGTCACCTTATCTTTGATAAAGGAGGCAGGAATTTACAGTGGAGAAAGGGCATCCTCTTCAATAAGTGGTGCTGGGAAAACTGGACAGGTACATGTAAAAGTATGAGATTAGATCACTCCCTAACACCATGCACAAAAATAAGCTCAAAATGGATTAAAGACCTAAATGTAAGGCCAGAAACTATCAAACTCTTAGAGGAAAATATAGGCAGGACACTCTATGACATAAATCACAGCAAGATCCTTTTTGACCCACCTCCTAGAGAAATGGAAATAAAAACAAAAATAATTGGGACCTAATGAAACTTCAAAGCTTTTGCACAGCAAAGGAAACCATAAACAAGACCAAAAGACAACCCTCAGAATGGGAGAAAATATTTGCAAGTGAAGCAACCGACAAAGGATTAATCTCCAAAATTTACAAGCAGCTCATGCAGCTCAATAACAAGAAAACAAACAACCCAATCCAAAAATGGGCAGAAGACCTAAATAGACATTTCTCCAAAGAAGATATACAGACTGCCAACAAACACATGAAAGAATGCTCAACATCATTAATCATTAGAAAAATGCAAATCAAAACTACAATGAGATATCATCTCACACCAGTCAGAATGGCCATCATCAAAAAATCTAGAAACAGTAAATGCTGGAGAGGGTGTGGAGAAAAGGGAACACTCTTGCACTGCTGGTGGGAATGTGAATTGGTTCAGCCACTATGGACAACAGTATGGAGGTTCCTTAAAAAACTAAAAATAGAACTACCATATGACCCAGCAATCCCACTACTGGGCATATACCCTGAGAAAACCAAAATTCAAAAAGAGTCATGTACCAAAATGTTCATTGCAGCTCTATTTATAATAGCCCAGAGATGGAAACAACCTAAGTGCCCATCATCGGATGAATGGATAAAGAAGATGTGGCACATATATACAATGGAATATTACTCAGCCATAAAAAGAAACGAAATTGAGCTATTTGTAATGAGGTGGATAGACCTAGAGCTGTCATACAGAGTGAAGTAAGTCAGAAAGAAAAAGACAAATACCGTATGCTAACACATATATATGGAATTTAAGAAAAAAAATGTCATGAAGAACCTAGGGGTAAAGCAGGAATAAAGATGCAGACCTACTAGAGAATGGACTTGAGGTTATGGGGAGGGGGAAGGTTGAGCTGTGACAGGGCGAGAGAGAGTCATGGGCATATACACACTAACAAACGTAGTAAGGTAGATAGCTAGTGGGAAGCAGCCGCATGGCACAGGGATATTGGCTCGGTGCTTTGTGACAGCCTGGAGGGGTGGGATAGGGAGGGTGGGAGGGAGGGAGACGCAGGAGGGAAGACATATGGGAACATATGTTTATGTATGACTGATTCACTTTGTTATGGGGCAGAAACTAGCACACCATTGTAAAGCAATTATACCCCAATAAAGATGTTAAAAAAAAAAAAAAAAGAGAATGGATGATGCTCAGGAATTACAAAGACAAGAGATAAAATAAAATAAAATAAAATAAAAATTTAAAAAAAAGATGTGGCACATATATACAATGAAATATTACTCAGCCATAAAAAGAAATGAAATTGAGCTATTTGTAATGAGGTGGGTAGACATAGAGTCTGTCATACAGAGTGAACTAAGTCAGAAAGAGAGAGACAAATACCGTATGCTAACACATATATATGGAATTTAAGAAAAAAAAATATCTTGAAGAACCTAGGGGTAAGACAGGAATAATGACACAGACCTACTAGAGAATGGACTTGAGGATATGGGGAGGGGGAAGGGTAAGCTGTGACAAAGCGCAAGAGAGGCATGGACATATATACACTACCAAACGTAAGGTAGATAGCTAGTGGGAAGCAGCCGCATAGCACAGGGAGATCAGCTCGGTGCTTTGTGACCACCTGCAGGGGTGGCATAGGGAGGGTGGGAGGGAGGGAGATGCAAGAGGGAAGAGATATGAGAACATATGTATATATATAACTGATTCATTTTGTTGTAAAGCAGAAACTAACACACCATTGTAAAGCAATTATACTCCAATAAAGACGTTAAAAAAAAAAAAAGACAAGAAAGAACAAGTGTTGGTGAGGATGTGCAGGAAAAAGAACCCTCATGCACTGTTGGTGGGAATGTAAACTGGTGTAGCCACTATGGAAAACAGGATGGAGCTTCCTCGAAAAACTAAAATTAGAACCACCATATGATCCAGCAGTTCCACTCCTGGGTATTTATCTGAAGAAAACAAAGGCCAGTAATTTGAAAAGATTTATGTACCCATGTTCACTGCAGCATTATTTACAATAGCCAAGATACAGAAGCCACCTAAGTGTCTATGGATAGACACTTCACAATGAGTGAAGATGCAGTATATATATATATACATACATACATACATATACTGGGGTTGGCCAAAATGTTCGTCTGGTTTTCTGCCTACGATGGCTCTAGTAGCACTTAGTTGTCTTTAACTTCATTCAAAACAATTTTATTAGATTGTTAACGTGACAGCTGTCATATCAAAGTGCATTAAAAAAAATTAGCAAAATTGGTAAATTTTTGTGTGGCCATTTTAATATCGAATATGGAAGAAAAAACATTTCGGCATATCATGCTTTACTATTTCAAGAAAGGTAAAAACGCAACTGAAACACAAAAAAAGGATTTGTGCCACGTATGGAGAAGGTGCTGTGACTGATCGAACGTGTCAAAAGCGGTTTGCGAAGGTTTGTGCTGGAGATTTCTCACTGGATGATGCTCCACGGTCAGGTAGACCAGTTGAAGTTGATAGCAATCAAGTCGAGACATTAACTGAGAACAATCAACGTTATACCACGTGGGAGATAGCCGACATTCTCAAAATAACCAAATCAAGCGCTGAAAATCATTTGCACCCACTTGGTTATGTTGTTTTGATGTCTGAGTTCCACTTAAGTTAAACGGAAAAAAACCTTCACATATTTCCGCATGTGATTCTCTACTTAATCGTTAACAAAAATGTTCCGTTTTTAAAACAAATTGTGGTGGGCGATGAAAAGTGGATACTGCACAACAATGTGGAACGGAAGAGATCATGGGGCAAGTGAAATAAACCACCACCCACCACACCAAAGGCTGGTCTCCATCCAAAGAAGGTGATGTTGTATATATGGTGCGATTGGAAGGGAGTCCTCTATTACGAGCTCCTTCTGGAAAACCAAACGATTAACTCCAACACGTACTGTTCCCAATTAGACCAACTGAAAGCAGCACTCAACAAAAAACACCTGGAATTAGTCAACAGAAAACGTGTAATCTTCCATCAGGATACTGCAAGACCGCATGTTTCTTTGATGACCAGGCAAAAACTGTTACAGCTTGGCTGGGAAGTTCTGATTCATCTGCCGTATTCACGGGGCATTGCACCTTCGGATTTCCATTTATTTAGGTCTTCACAAAATTCTCTTAATGGAAAAAATTTTAATTCCCCGGAAGACTGTAAAAGGTACCTGGTACAGTTCTTTGCTCAAAAAGGTAAAATGTTCTGGGAAGATGGAATTATGAAGTTGCCTGAAAAATGGCAGAAGGTAGTGGAATAAAAGGGTGAATATGTTTTTCAATAAAGTTCTTGGTGAAAATGAAAAATGTGTCTTTTATTTTTACTTAAAAACTGAAGGCACTTTTTGGCCAACCCAATAAATATACATATATACAAACATATATACATATGTATACATACACATATGTATGTATATATATTCCATATATATGTATACATATATATACATTCCATTATGTATACACACACACACACTGGAATATTATTCAGCTATAAAAGAATGAAATCTTGCCATCTGTGGCAACATAGATGGATCCGGAGGGTATTATTCTAAGTGAAATAAGTCAGACAGAGAAAGACAAATACTGAATGATTTTAGTTACATATGTGATCTAAAAAATAAAACAAATGAACAAACACATCTAAACAGAAACAGTCATAGATACAGAGAATGAACAGGTAGTCACCAGAGGGGAGAAAGGCAGGGGGTAGGGCAGAGTAGGTAAAGGGGATTAAGAGATATAAACTTCCAGTTACAAAATAAGTTAAGTCCTGAAGATGTAATATACACAGAGAAAATACAGTCAATGATACTGTAACAATCTCCTATGGTGACATTAACTGGACTTATTGTGATGATTTTATAATGTATACAAATATCAAATCACTATGTTGCACACCTAAAACTCATATAGTGTTGTATGTTAATTATAACTCAATAAAAATTAATAAAAAAATGAAGAGTCTTCAGCAAGGATGAGGTAGGTGGATGGGTAGGGAGTCGTATGTATTTCCAGAATCAATCAATTAGAAAAAATGAAATATCTGTATTTTCAATAAATTTATTTTTTTCTAATCTTCAGATAAAAGAAAGCTTTTCCATGAAAAACACTCAGATTATGTATCTGTCTCACTGACTGATTATCAAATGTGATATAAATAGTCAAATATACTGAATGCAGAATCAGAGGCAGTAACATCATAGAAAAGGAATCTCTGTGGCCTTCTATTATCGTCAGGAGTAACAAGTTATTACAACAGTTTAATCATGGAGTTAATCAAAATTTCTCTGTTAACACATTGAAGGCTTTCAATCAAATATATAACTTTGCTGAAACGAAGAAATGTTCCCAGTATAAACTGGACGGTACTGATAAATTAGTGCTTTGCCCTCTTCAACATCAGATTCAAAATGGTGATTGTTTTTCCGAGCTGCAAGAAAAAGAAAGCGTTAATTTTTAAAAAGATAGGATACAATTTTCAAAAGGCTACTTTAAAATATTTCTTCCTATAATCAGCATTATTAAGTGGGATAATACCAGCAAAAAGGAAAAACGTCTTACCAAATTCCCCCAAATAAAGCAGCACCTGATTTGGAGTAGAGCCTTCCTGACAGCAGCCGTGCTAACCCTGCACCAGACCCCACGTGGCGCTCACTCCCCTTTCATTCAAACGCCTACCACACGCCTACTGTGTGCAGAGCTTGATGTAGGGCCTGGGGATGGCGACATCCACAAGGCAAGGTCCTAACGCTCAAGAAGTCTTGTCTAGTCACCACACAGAAGTTTTTATAGACTAATCAGGAGGACGCTTCAAGAGGATGGAGAAACTGGCAAAGCTGAGGCAGGGGAGAAGGGAGGCATCTCCCCCAGGTAAGGCAGAAATTTGAAAAGCAAGGAGGCACAAAGAAGTCGCATGGCGAAACTTTAGGTGTGAGGGGGTGAGGGCTCAGACTTTACCCTAAAGTCCAAATAAAGTAAATACAGGCCTCCGTGGCATTTTTAGAAAGAGGGATGTTGGAAAATGAAGGCCATGTAGCCGTTCCTGTGATACTGCTGCAGGGAGCCTTGCTCTGCTCTCTGCTGTTCTCATCACTCCTATACGAACGACATGAAAATGTTTCTTGGGACTAATACTACACCTGGGAGAACTTTTTTTTAATTTGGGGTTTTTGTAATGAAATGACCCGTTCACCGGAGCACAATTCTAAACCACAGTGAACTCAGGAGGAAGCACTTTACCTGCGAGTGTGGACGGAGGGTTGATAAAACCTCAGGGCAAGCGTGAAGGGAGGATGCAAACGAAGTTCATGGAAATCTTCCCGGGGCCGCGACTTGCCAGAGCGACGCCCTAATCCCTTGCAAGTTGTGTTCGTAGCTCTGTCTTACACCCATATCACTCAACTAAAACCCAAGCATCTATAGCCAAATTCTCAATTTACCCACAAACATAACCTAGCATGACTATGCCTGTGTTTTCATCATGAAAAAGCAGGCAAAGCGTATTAACTTTCTCCACTGTGCCAATACCTACAGATAGGCAGCCTTAAAACCACAGACTGATGAGTATAGAGTCAATTTACATAATTGTCTTGGAAAAGTAAGATCTAATCCTCAGAGAATGTCATAATTAAATCATTATCCCTAAAAAGAGTAATTGGAGGGGAATCTAAAAAAAAAAGGACTCAAGAAAACAAAACAAAACAATCTTTATGCTGTTGTTCAGGAAATCAGCCCACTTTAGACTGTACAGTACCGTTAACTGAAAGAACTGTCCTGGTTTGATCTGAATGACTAATATCTCAATTTCAGGGCTTTCACATGAATTAATTTTTTTAAAAGTTAAACCTACAAAACATTTACAGAGTAAAAGTACACAGAAGTTCAGATGAGGGCGATTTCCTTCAAAACCACACTAGAGAGACAAAATTATAACCCCTGCCCCATATTACCTTCAGCCACAAAGAACTCTGCTAAATAAAATGCAGCCCTCACAGCATTAGGCGCATGGGAGATGCCTTTTAATTTGCCCCACTCATAAGGAGCTTTCTCTGGGTGCCACTGGACACCATACACCGGATACTGGTATCCTGCACAAAGAACATAGACTGGTGAGTATTAAGTAGTAACAATGGTCTGGGATGTTACTTAACAATTAAATTATGTTTTACATGCTGTGTAAAACATTATTTTTATAACACCCAATGTCAGACAAAGTTAAACTGTGCACATTCTCTCAGACACAAACAATTTCAGTTCACAGTCAATGTGAAAGTTCACAATACAATATTTCACTGACTTACAACCTTTTATGATTTGAAATATGATTCCGTTTACTAGGTGATCAGAGTAGAGTGAAATAACTGAGCCTTTGAATATATCCCAGCTCAATAGTAAACCGCACATCTGATTAGTCATAAGTTTCTTCTACAACTCTCTTCCCCCCACTTCATACCGCATTTTCATCCCCTCCTGTAATGACATTCACATGAGCATGAACTACGCCAGCATCTTTAGTGTCCTTTTACATAAGTCTCAGGCTCAACTGTGTCTCTCACTCTATGGAAAGGTTCATGGTTTCATGCTGCCAATTTTTAAATAGTTTTTAAAAGTTTAAATTTGGTGTGAAAGATTTTTGGTAATGTACTTCACTTATTTTTAGAATTCTTAAATATCTTTATATACAAAAATGATACGATCCCTAGGATTTACTCCAAAAACTAAGCTGGTATGAGGAGAAAATAGATATGAAACAACAATGGCCATATAAATGTGATAGTTGTTGAAGCTTAGAGAAAGGTACCCAGGGGATCATTACATTACTCTCTCTACTTCTAAATATGGCTTTAAAATTCCATAATTTTTTAAAAAATATGTGTAATATTTACCTTCTGAGAAATATCTATACTCATCTCTTTTTTTCTTCACATATGCCTTTCCTCATTTTAATTGAAAAAAAAAATCCTCCCTCTATTATTCTTGCTTTGAAATTATAACCCTGACTACCACGGGAAATACTTAGAGAAATGAATTATCCAAAAGTAGAGATATCTAGGGAAAAGGGCACTGTCCGCATATCCCATGAGACTCTGCTAAAAGAGATCATGTCAGAAGAAGGAAACCTATTTTATCCTAGCCTTCTTCAGTCTAGATTCACAAGAGAAAAGAACCTACCAGCAAGCAGCTCCGGTCACTCTACTCCATCCCTCCCCACTGCGCCTCCCCCCCCTCCTGCTTTGTGACGTACTCTCTTTCTCTGTCTTGAACCACATGTGATGCCACCAGCAGGAGACCCATGGGCTGGATGACCAGGAAATTAACTGTTACACATAGGTAACTGAAAGGCAGATCTTCTAATATATTTCCTTGAGATATGAAAAGTATTATTTAGAATAAGAAATACCCTAAGTGGTGGTGCAGTGGTTAAGAATCCGCCTGCCAATGCAGGGGACACAGGTTCAAGCCCTGGTCTGGGAAGATCCCACATGCCGCGGATCAATGAAGCCCATGCGCCACAACTACTGAGCCTGCACTCTAGAGCCCAAGAGGCATGACTACTGAGCCCACGCACCACAACTACTGAAGCCCACGCGCCTACAGCTCGTGCTCTGCAACAAGAGAAGCCACCGCAATGAGAAGCCCGTGCACCTCAAAGAAGAGTAGCCCCCGCTCGCTGCAACCAGAGAAAGCCTGCGTGCAGCAACAAAGACCCAACACACCCATAAATTAATTAATTAATTAATTAATTAATTAAATTTATTTAAAAAAAGAAATACCCTAAGTGATAAATTGTAATAAAGATTTTTCAGATAGATGAATGGATAGGACAGAGATACACACTGACATTCAGAAGCAAGTTGAGATTTACTCATTTTTTGTAAACTGCGTCAATAAAAGATCAATGCAGGTTCCTGACAACTCTAGGAATCACGCCCTGGCTCACTAATTTAGAACAAAATATCAAGAACAGGAAGGAAATGCGCATATAGGAGCATCTCAAGTGTTTCTATCTAGTAGGTGTCAGAAAACTTTCAGAAGATAAAAATTTCAAAAGAGCCTGGTATGATGACATAGCCAGGAACAGAACCAACATGAAGTCCTATTCCCTAATTTCCAAGCCAATACTCTTTCATTTAAATAATTACTCATCTATTCAACATCTACTGAGATTTCCATAAAGTCCTGGAAACACAAAGAATGACAGAGTCCCAGCTCTCAATGAGCTCTTAGCCTAGGAGGAAAGACAGAACATGAGCAAATAAGTGCAAAGAGACATTCCTAGGAGTGCAGAGCAAGTATAAAGGAGGAGCACTGAGGATGTGGCGAGAAAGGATAACGGGCAGGGACGGCCTCCAGGAGCTGACCACTGCCCTGAGTTCTTAAAGCTAGCTAAGAGGCCATCAGCAGAAGGGAATGGGGAGGAAGGAAAGCTTTTCAGAGGAGAGGAAAGAGCATAAGGAAAAGCACGGGGGCAAGAAGTGCTGCTCTGTGGAGGGCTGTGTGTACTGAACAGGGTGCATGGAATCCAGGCTAGCGAGGGCTGCGGGGGAGACCTTGAGTAAATGACTGGGAAATCCAGACTCCATCCTCCAAGTGCTGAAGAGCCACTGAGGAGCTTTCTCCCCAAGCAATGTGGTCAGACTGGAATCTCGGGGGATTGCTGGTGACCGGCTGGAAGGCAGGTTTGTGGAACGGTTAGGAGCTCCTGCGGCAACACAGGTGGCAGGTGGTTTATGCTGCAGTCGGACAGGAGGAATAGAGAGATCTGGGAAGAAGAATTCCCAAGAAGGATGTGGGAAGTAGCAAGTGGCACGGACTTCTCAGATGTGGAGGATGAGGGCCGGAAGTCAAGGGCAGCCAACACTAGATGATGCGGTGAATGGCAACGCTGTCAACTAAAGTAAGAAATACAGGAGGGGAAACAGGGTTGGAGAGAGAAGTTCAGAGTGGTTCACTTCAGACTGCATTCATCAGCCTTCCCAGAATTCCGGGGAGGTCGTTTCTGAACCTTCAGACATCTGACCTCCCCCAACAAGGGAGCCAGTGACATGGCCACAATCTGCGAATAGCATGAACTACTTCTGCCTCGTCCCAGTTGACTCCACTCCAGTGCTCGGGCCTCACCAGTAGCACCAATCAGTCTCGCCAGCTGAGAGACCACCTACTGCTTCTGCAAGCTCTCATTCATGGTACTTTGCTTCCTTGTGCACTTGTGATGTTTTGGCTGTGAACCAATCACTTTCCTTAAAACCTCATATGGAAACTTCTTAAAAGTCCCGGAAAAATGCAGGTTCCTCCAGAGAGCACTACTGACGTTTGTTTCTGACACACACGTTGAGGCACTATCAGTCCGAGATAGCTTCAAACACACTTTTTGACTTAAGATGTGCCGAACTTCCCAGTTAGTATAGCGCGGGCCACGCTAGACAGGCCTGTCATGAAAACACTCGGGGCTTTACTGATTTACCAGCCCACCCGCTTAGCGCTACGGTTCAGGATGGCAAACTCTCCCTGCAGTTGTGCAGGCAGGATTCACGGAGGGTCCAGCCTTCCGCGTCCTGCTCCACGGGGGTACTCTCCAGGGAGGGGGGGTCCTGAGCTTCATCTCAAGCTCTCCTGACTCAATAATAAGGCTGGTTTAAATACTCCACTTACCTCCTGCAATTTGGGGTCTGAATACCCTTACTGTCACTTCATCAATGTATTTACTTAGGAAGATGTTTTTCTGTATGTCAGTCACATTTTTTGCTGTTGTCTGCAGCACGTACTTAAGCTGCAGTATTGCTAGAAACAGAAATCACTTTCTCCATTTATTTCTTCATCCACTCTCCCCTTACTCTTCACTTCCCCTTTTCATCACCCTATCATAGAGGGTGACCCAGGTAAACCACAACTGATTTGGAACATGGGCAAAACAGGCCTCCTGTCTCCAAAAATGCCCTAACTTCTAACTTCAGTCCCCAAAGTAACATGATCTTATTCATAAGAGAACTATAAAATCAAAATTAATAAATATAATAAGTAAAATAAAGTGTACATCTGCAGTGATACATACCTTCCATTGTTGAAATAAACTCAATAGAGCCATCTGTATTTGTAGTTAATATATTGAAAAACGCCTTTAACTTTTCATTCATTGTAAAATTCTAAAGTGCAAAAATAAAAACAAAATAATTACTTCTGTAGTAAATCTAAATGCATTAATTTCATTGTGTTATTAATGTGATACCTTCACAGAGAGGCTCCACTTGTGGAAATTTGCAGTCAGAGGTTCTATTGCTAATGACAGCAACAAGTCAGCAGGAAAATTCTCGAACATTCTGCTCTGCAATGGACCTGAAATAATTCAAGCATAAAAAGAAATAATTTAAACACAGAAAAAATAAAATCCATTGAAGTCAACTGATCTTCAGCCAGAGAGAGGCCATTGTTAAGGCATAATCAAGATGACTAAATGATATGCAAACACATCGTTTCCACAGAAGTATTCTAGTCAAGCACAAAATAAGTTTAACACACAATTCCAAATATGTTCCATACTTAAGTACTTTTCTTGTAGAACTGTAACATAAATAACTAAAATTCTTCAGACGTGATAACGAGCAGGCTAGCCATAGAGTAAGCAGAGGATTTCAAAATGAGTTCTCTAGACAGCGCTGAAAAATAGGTGAAATTTTCCACATGTGTATATATTTGTTTTCTCAGGAAAGAACCCAGAACTTTTAACACATTTTCAAAGGTATCTGGGACTTAAACGGTTAAAAATACCAACAACGTAGGAAAAAACATTAACCAGGCCAAGATAATTCTACTCACTAAATAGATCAAAAGAAGCAATGGGATTCCCTGGTGGTGCAGTGGTTGAGAGTCTGCCTGCCGGTGCAGGGGACAAGGGTTCGTGCCCCGGTCTGGGAAGATCCCACATGCCATGGAGCGGCTGGGCCCGTGAGCCATGGCCGCTGAGCCTGCGCGTCCGGAGCCTGTGCTCCGTCCACAATGGGAGAGGCCACAACAATGAGAGGCCCGCGTACCGCAAAAAAAAAAAAAGAAGCAATTTACCTCAATGAAGGCTCTGGAGTCTGACACAGACATATGCCAGCAAAGGGATAAGAAAATCCTGACGGTGTTCAAGGCCCTATCGCCAGCTGTCCCTCAATGAATCCCTCATTCAGGATGCTAATGGCTTCCATTAGAATCCCAGAGCCCTACATAATAAAAATCCGCTGATACCTTACTTCAGCAGATTTCATTCCTTTTTTTGTATAAACTCGGTTTTAACCACATACAACCAAAAGAGACTGACCTGATACATACACTTCCCACAGGATTCTTGCAGTAATTAAGTGAGATAATATGAGAAAGAGCTTTGAAAAGTATAGAGCATTTTATAGATTCTATGTATAACAACTACTACTTTCTATCCAAAATCCTTTTGAGAACAGGAATGGTTGGTAGCATTCAACATTCAATTCTGATGATTCAGAAGTCAAGTAACCTCCAAGAATCATGATCTATTTACACAGATTGGTAAATAAAGCATTTGTCTGGTCTTTGTCCTGGGTTCCTGACTGGGAGCTTTTAAACCCTTGGAATTTCCGGACTGATAGGTGTGTCTTTGTAATGCTAATGAGGTGACACAAGGTGGCCCCTGGACAGCTTCAGGATGAGGCTGGTTATCAGAAAAACTAACCACATGATTATAGCAGGTCTGACTTTACCTGGCTATGTAGTGCAATGGACATGCATTGGACTTCTAGAGCAGGTCTGACTTTGAGCTAGCCTGTTCTCCAGGGATGAGACAGGGACTGGAGATTGAGTTCAATAACATGGCCAATGATTTAATCAACCATGCCTTCATAATAAAGTCCCGATAAAAACTCTGAGCACCAAAGTTCACCGGAGCTACAGGGCTGGTGAACATATTGATGTGCCAGGAGGGTGATGTGCCCTGACTCAACAGGGAGAGGGCAAGAAGTTCTATATTCCCTCACAGACCTTGCCCCATGTGTATCCTTTACAGTAAAACTCTTTATTGCAAACATAGCACTTTCCTGAGTTCTGAGAGTCATTCCAGTTCATTATTAAACCCGAGGGGGATTGTGGGAATCCCAAGATTCATGGCCATCTGATCAGATGTATGGGTGGCCTCGGGGTATGACTCGTGGCTGGTATCCGACAGAAGGGCAGTCTAGTCACGGAGATAACCTTTAACTGGAGTCTGTGCTAACTCCAGGTCGTTAGTACTAGAATGGAATTGCAGTGCACCCTATCTGGGATCCAAACAGAGTACACAGCCAAGGGAAAAATGCTGACTATAATAATAAGAGCTAACACTTATTAGAGTAATATTTAAAGAGCTTATCAGAGTACCTGGAAAACATTATCTTATTTAATCCTCACAAAAAAATCCTAAGAGGTAAACGCTTTTACAAATCAGGAAATTAAAGCTAAGAGAGGGTAAATGATTCCCCAAGGCAGCAGTGACAACGCTAGGGCTCAACACCAAGTCTGACTTTAGAGTTTTTAATCATGCACTGTCCTGACGTCACTAGAAGCAATAAGTTATCAACATTCAAAATTCCTTAAGCCAGCTTTATAACTCAGTACAAAAAGTGACCATTCACATCTTCAGCCTGTGCAAATAATTTAAAAATCAACAAATGTTATGAACATATTTTTACTCTGATATTTGCAACTTATTAATCCTGCCCAGTTAATATTTTTTTCAGGATCAAAAGAGAATTCTTACCTCTAGTGAAGTTCAGTGGCATTTTAATTCCAACAGTATCTGTGAGGGTTAATAAGCTCTCTCCACTGACCAGATACGTAAGCTCTTCAAATCCAAGGCAGGTCCCCCACGTGGGAAAATAGTCTCCATTACCAAAGCCCTGTGCAGAATAAAGAGAAAACTAAGCTTACTCAAACTTTTCAAAATAAAAATTATACATTTGATTTGTCATACAAGATTGGCACCTGAGGTATACATGGATTTCTAAGGAGTTTTCCAGGATCAATAGTAGTAGGCTATCACTTACTCTCTCTTCTATCAGTAGGATATCACTTAATTTCTCTTTAGATCAAGCTCCCACATAATAGTTCAGGTTTAATTAACCAAACTATCCAAACTCAGTTGTGCTGGGAAAGATACAGACATTTGCCAGTCAACTACCGAACAACACATGTAACATTCAGGGACTGTAAATATCAAGGATGATGCTAGATAAATGCCTATTTACACATTTTCTACAAATCTTGTTGCTTTAAATGACTGTCCAGTTTTGAACGTACTCTGAATGGAAGTCTTTCCTCCATTATCTCAGAATTTATAGTAACAGCTGCATTATACCACCTTCAGCTAATCAGATTTAAATCAGGTGAAAGCCATGATCTGGAAGGAAAGGAACAGTCGGCAAGCAAAAGTAAAATAAAATTTCAGAGAGTAAAAGCTGTCAACTAAAAAAGTACAAATGTACTGGGTTTCTTCAGAGGAAGTCACAACAACCAGTGTGACTGGGGGAGAAGCATTCCAGCAACTGAATTGTCTGATTAACCAAAGATTAAACCCAAGTGTGCTGATAGTTACAAAACTGGGTTTTGTAACTTTTCTAAAAGCAGTGGTTTTCCTGCATAGACTGTAAAATATAACCTAACAGGGCTTCCCTGGTGGCGCAGTGGTTGAGAGTCCACCTGCCGATGCAGAGGATGCAGGTTCGTGCCCCGGTCCGGGAAGATCCCACGTGCCGCGGAGCGGCTGGGCCCGTGAGCCATGGCCGCTGAGCCTGCGCGTCCGGAGCCTGTGCTCCGCAACGGGAGAGGCCACAACAGTGAGAGGCCCACGTACCGCAAAAAAAAAAATTAATTAATTAAAAAAAAAAATATATATATATATATATTTATAACCTAACAGTAACTCATTTTAAATGAGGAAATTGTTAGGGAGTTTTTTTCTGTTCTTCAATGAGAAAAATATAGAACAGCATTAATTCCTATACTTCCTATCTCAAGATAGGATTTTAATACTTTTATATGCAAGTCTGGAAATTTTATTTTTAGAAGTTAGAATTGTATACGTTATGTTGAAGGGTCTTACTGCATCCACTTACAATAAACACAAAAGAGGGCTGAACTGTTCTCTGTTTCCATATGCACACCAAACTTGATTTCTGAACTAAATGTTAAATCCCCATTTGCTGGGACCACATCTTTTGTTTGTTGTGATCAGCAGAGCAAAGGACACAGAGTGAAACCGAATAGATCTCACAGAAATCACTTCTCAGGGCTTCTTCATCAGGGCCTGTGGACCCCAGTGGCTACAGCTAAATGGAAGTTCAAGGTTGCTAAGCTTTTTTCTTTGCTTTGAAATCTTCAAGTAGCTAATTACATTTTTTAAAATTTATTTATTTTTATTTATTTATTATTTTTGGCTGTGTTGGGTCTTCATTGCTGCGCACAGGCTTTCTCTAGTTACGGCGAGCAGGGGCTACTCTTTGTTGCGGTGCGCGGGCTTCTCATTGCAGAGCACGGGCTCTAGGCGCGCGGGCTTCAGTAGCTGTGGCACGCGGGCTCTAGAGCACAGGCTCAGTAGTTGTGGTGCACGGGCTTAGTTGCTCCGCGGCATGTGGGATCTTCCTGGACCAGGGCTCGAACCCGTGTCCCTTGCACTGGCAGGCGGATTCTTAACCACTGTGCCACCAGAGAAGCCCTAATTATATTTTTTTAAATAGGCCTTTGGGTCTTACGGGTTAGGTGGCTCCTTTTTTTTTAAATTGAACAAGCCAGTTACATGAGTCTCTATATGCAAAGGAAGAGTGGCTTTATAATGTTCATATATATGCTTTCCAAATGCATTTTAAATCACTCATGTTATAAAATCTCAATTTTGTTCCCTAGTTTTTCCAAAAAATATCCACTGAGCATGTACTAAGTACATGGAACCATATGATATGAAATGAGGAATGCCTCAAAGGGTGTCAGAGCCATGCAATCTGATGAGACATGAACAGCTAACTTCAAGATATTCTGTCTCTGGGCTTCCCTGAAAAGCTGGCTAAGGCACAAATTAGGGACGGGGTAGAAAGGAACAGCCTAAGCAGATCTGAAAGTAGGAGGACACAGAGTATGTGCTGGAAATACCAGCCTGGCTGCAATTACCTGCACAAGCAAAGTCTGGAAAAGGTGAGCTGTGGACACACTGTATATCTTGACTCAAAGACTATAAAAGGCTACATACAGGTCATCAAGCCAAGCCATTAAGTTTTCAAACAAGCATCTCATATGTTAAAAGCAGTTTCTTAGGGAAATATTTAAGGTTGGGGGAGATAGTAGGACCAGCAAGATTAATTAGAAAATTGCTGTTAACAGTTCAGGGGAGAAATAGCCAGGGTCTGAGCTATGGTGCAAAGGCAGGAGCAGTCTTTTTAGAAGACTAAAAAGGAATCGAGAGGCTCTGCAAGTCACGGAGAGGAGATGAGAATTAACAACACATGAACAGGGACTTCCCTGGTGGCACAGTGGTTAAGAATACGCCTGCCAATGCAGGGGACACAGTTCGAGCCCTGGTCCGGGACGATCCCACATGCCGCGGAGCAACTAAGCCCGTGCGCCACAACTACTGAGGCTGCGTTCTAGAGCCCATGAGCCACAACTACTGAGCCCGCATGCCACAGCTACTGAAGCCCACATGCCTAGAGCCCGTGCTCCATAACAACAGAAGCTACCGCAATGAGAAGCCCACGCACAGCAATGAAGAGTAGCTCCGCTCACCGTGACTAGAGAAAGCCCGCGTGCAACAACAAAGACCCAACGCAGCCAAAAAAATAATTAAAAAAAAAAAAAACACAACACATGAACAATGCCCAGTACATAATGAAGCCAGCTTACTTGGCCACCATGAGGGCCTGGTTCAGATTAATGAGCCCAAACAGAGAGGGCCGGCCAGCAGGGCCCTGAGGCTCCCTGGAGCCCAGAATTAAATGAAGCGCAGAGAAAATGGCCAAGAGCTGCCACTGGCTGGAAAAGAACAGGCACCCCAACAGCTAAAGGTGTGACGAGACTAGGGTAATTGTGCAGAAAGTATTACCACGTGCTTAAAAAAGGAATTATCCTCATGGAAAATTACAAAAGTTCACCTGGAATAATAAGAAATAACTGAGGTTTACCTGTATGGCCAACTTGTAAAATATTTTGGCCACGTGGGCGTAACCTGAATTTATGAGGTCAACACTTCCTCCAGGGAAAAGGATCCTGAAACAACATCAAACAGCGTGCATTTCAACCCCTCCCCACTCCCAGAAAATAAACACAACATCAAACAGCGTGCATTTCAACCCCTCCCCACTCCCAGAAAATAAACAATCACTTTATTTTAAAACAATTTTTCCTTACTACATAAGCAGCAAGATCATTAGAGAAAATGAGAAAAATTAGGCAAAAAGAAAATACAAAATATTTACAATCCCACCCATTTGTAAACTATTGCAGTTAACAATGAATTTGTGCATATTCTACTAAACCTCTTGGATAAACAAGTTTATTTTTGAAATAGAGTGTGGATAAGTTAAAGTAAAATAAATGGGGGGAGGGGAGGAGAATACACACAGCTAGAAATCAAGTAGAAATAAAATTCCAAGTATAGCTAGGTTTAAATTAAGATGATCAGAGATGCCAAGATCAACTGCAGGTCCATAATCATGCGTCAGGCTTAGCTCACAAAAAAAATCTGTTTTAACAATAAAGAACAAACTAGTCATAAAAATATAGTAGGCTAGAATTAAATATCTATGGAATTTAAAATTTATTATTATTACCCTGAAATCTCTTCAGAAATAAGAATGGTGTTAAAAAATTTTGAAAAAGAACACAATTACCATTCTAAAAAATTCTAGGAGAAAAAGGGGAGTCACAAGCATTTGACTTTATTTTACCCTACATATAAAGGAGAGAGAGAGAAAAATATTTATGTTTTCACATCAACTTTGTAAACTAACTCTAAAAAGCTCTTAAAGTAACTAAGGATATTCAAAAGAGATTACAAAGGTTGAATTAAATATATTAAAATTTTTGAAAATACTTAAATATGAATTTGAGACATGTGAAATATCACCTTTGAGACTGTGTTCATTCAGTAATAGGTATTAGCCCACAGAGACAAAGATGGGTAATTTTTGCTGTTAGTAGGATCATGGTCTAGTAGGAAATATATAAACTATAAGGCAGAACATCTGCCACAAAACCAAGCAGAAAACCCTACAGTTTAAAGTGGCTTAATGAAGACTCATTAGCAGTTCTCCCTTTTCATTGACTCAGTATTTAAAAAGCTGCCTCTGAACAAACTTGGTATGTTTAATCTCAAAGTCCATTCATAAAGTAAAACTTGACTGTCCCTCTCGGTTGACCAACTCCTTCAAAGCAAGGCTCTGCCTTTTCATCTCTGCAAGCCCCGCCCCCCCCCCCAAAAATAAAAACTTCATACAAGGCTCAGTAAAGGTGTTTCGGAAGTGGCATTAGAGTCCTGCTCATTGCCTGCGGTATATTTTTGAGGTTCTACCATATACTCTCTCCGGGACTTATTTATCTTTGTCCATGCCAAAGTACACTGCATATAACAGGCATTGTAAATGTTTCACTAAATTGAACTAACTTTACTGTAAATATTTACTGATCCAAACTGAGGTGAATACAAACGACTGTTTTGAACATAGCTTTTTAAAAAAAAATATTAATAAATGAACAGTTTTCTAAAATTTTTAAAAAGTTCTTTTTATAAAAGCTTTACAGTAAAATAGACTCCCTCCATCCCACTCCTGATTAGAAATAACCACCATTATGGGGCTTCCCTGGTGGCGCAGTGGTTAAGAATCTGCCTTCCAATGCAGGGAACGTGTGTTTGATCCCTGGTCAGGGAACTAGATCCCACATGCATGCTGCAACTAAGAGTTCGAATGCCACAATTAAGGAGCCTACAAAGCCACAACTAAGGAGCCCACCTGCTGCAACTAAGACTCACTGCAACAAAAATTAATTAATTAATTAATTAATTATTTTAAAAAGATGGGTGTTCTTTAAAAAAAAAAAAGTAAAAATAAATAACCACCATTAAAATTTGTTATGTTGACCTCATATATGCTATACATATCTCCTCACCCCAACTTTAAAAACAAAAGTAAATGGTAGTATACTATACACACCACTATGTGCCTTGCTTCTTATCACATGGTTCACAGAACAATAGTGATTCAGGGCAACATCTATAGATAGCCTCATGTTTAACCTGTGCATAATATTCTATTATATGCATATAGTCTATTTTTTTATCCAATTCCCAACTGATGGACCGTTGGATGGGTTCTAAATCAGAAGTATTTCAAACAATTCTACAATGCATATGTTTAGTCTTCACATAAGGGGGGATTATATTTTTCTTTCTGTTTTATTATTTTCTTTTTACTGAAGTATAGTTGATTTACAATGTTGTGTTAGTTTCAGGTATACAGCAAAGTGATTCATTTTTTTATACATATATGTATGTATATGTATGTATGTATATATATTCTTTTTCAGATTACTTTCCCTTATAGGTTATTATAAAATATTGGGTATGTTCCCTGTGCTATATAGTAGGTCCCTGTTGGTTATCTATTTTATATATAGTAGTGTGTATATGTTAAAAGGGCTGATTATATTTGTAAAATAAAATTCCTCTGAAGGGTTTCCTGGGTCATATGGTATGTGCATTTTTAATTTCAATAGATACTGTAAAACTGCCCCCAAGGGCTTCCCTGGTGGCGCAGTGGTTGAGAGTCCGCCTGCCGATGCAGGGGACACGGGTTCGTGCCCCGGTCCGGGAAGATCCCACATGCCATGGAGCGGCTGGGCCCGTGAGCCATGGCCGCTGAGCCTGCGCGTCCGGAGCCTGTGCTCCGCAAAGGGAGAGGCCACAACAGCGAGAGGCCCGTGTACCGCAAAAATAAAAAACAAAAAAACCTGCCCCCAAAAGACTATGTAACTCACCCTGATGGAAGAAATGTTCACCTGTTGAGGTATGGGGACATCATCCTGGCTTACACATGATTTGGCTTGAACTTTACGCTAACTAGAACAGCCTATCTTATGGCGCATCAAACAAGTGCTGTACAACTGCTTTAACCACTAAGAAAATAATACGTTATCCAGAAGTTTCAAAAAAAGTTCACTTTGAAGACGGGGATAAATGTCTCCCCTTCCTATGACGTCCATGCTAGTAGTCCTTCAAAGATAAGGTTCCCTTCCCAGATACCAAGGTCATGCTGACTCGCTGTATATGTGCTAATCTGTCTGTCAAAACCCTGAAGGAATGCACCCTTGTGTTTGATGTACGTTCTTTGCTCTGTCAAGATATAAAATCGTGTTTTTCCAGAGCACTTTCTTCCTGGGCTATAGTCCTCCATTTGGCTCGAATAAACTCTCTTCTGTTCCTTAATAATTGTTTATTGATTATTTGGATCAACAACTCCCATAAGTAAAGGATAAGAACACTGTTTCCTCACACCCTCACCACAGAGTACTAGCACATTTTCTGCTCTTTGCTAACTTGATGGTTTTTAATTGCTATAATTAGCTTTCCTCTAATTGTGAGTAATGTTGCACATTTTTTCATATGATTAAGAGGGTTGCTTTTTTTTCTGCGAGCTAAGCAATCATATCTTTTGCGGAGAAGCTAGAGGATATAAAACGTTTTTTCCAAGTTCTATCCAAGTCACCTTCGGAAAAATAACCAATTAATATTCTCATTCTTAAGACTTATACATCCCCTAAGCAAGCAGTATGCCACGGCCTCCAAAGTGGCTTCAAAACATTTAAGACAAGCATTAAAAGAATAAAGACTATGTCGCACATTAAAAAAAAATTGTATATTGTCTACTGTGTAACATTTATTTCTTAACCTGCCTTCTCTCTGCAGGATTTCTGCACCTCTCAACTCAGAAAACTAATATTACACCACTGTAAGACAGCTACATAGAAACATGTATTAAATTTATATGTACTTCTTTGCATTGCTTAGACCTCCTACACTATATTAAACCAATGTTGGCAACTTACCCATTAATAGACTTGAAAAGCTTTTCATACTCTTCATCTTTAAGATCAAGCCTGAAAACAATAAAAATAATTACAAAACATCCATTTCCAAAACTTAAGAAGAAAAGTAAGCCTCTAAATGAAGTCACCACATTAATTTTTAAAAGCCGGGTGAAAAATAATTCTTAAATACTGGACTATATCACCTCTTTGCCTTCCTAGAGGCATTTTTTTCAAACTACATGAAAGCCACATACTTATATCCTTGTTTTGCTAATCAGACAAGTAAACATGTTTTCCTCTGGTCTAATGTAATTTGATATTGTGAGGTACATGTTAATATGCAAAACATTAAAGACCATGAGATTTGGGTACCAGTAATTTCTCTGCTAGCCAAGATAAAAAAAAAGAAAAGTAAGGATATTCAGTAGTTTTTAAGTAAAGACTAAGAGATTTATTAGCATACCTATCTTAACTACAGGAAGCTTCGGCAAAAAATATAAATGCCAAGTCTCTGCTTCAACCCACCCCTACCGCCAACCGCAAAGGTCTCAGAACTACTGTGTATTCACAAGTCAGAAGAGTTCAGATCTAGGCGGTACAGACTACATGCAGGTCCCTGTAGATGGGCCTAATTTGCCCAGGTAATTATTCTGAAGTTCCCTTTATCAAACATCTGGTAAGGTTTTCCTAACAATCACCACGTTATTGATGATCTTATTCCCTTCTCCAGAGAAAACCCACGGGATTAGTCTGTGACAACTGGCTACAACCTTGACTTATGTCACAGTAAGACAGGTTACTCTTCCAGAAGTTCGACGGAATGAAAGGACAAGGGAAAAGAGCATCCTATTTATGAATTCCTGCAAGAACTGTGCTACGTTCAGAGTCTTCTGGTTGCATAAGAGAATAAAAAGGCATAATGCCTTCTCAGATATCAACTACAGTCCATTTCTGCCGCACAGGAAAGTTCTAGAGGCATTAGGACACTTCTCCCATTATTAAGGAGATACCCATGATGCCCGGACTTAGCTGTGCTTTGCCAGAAAACCCCTCTAGGCTCTCCTCTAAGCCCAAATGAGCTGTGCTGTTCAGAAATTCATAATAATCCTCCTCTGGCAGAGAGCCACAAAGCAGTGGGTGACACTGCAGTGGTGCTTACCACTATCTTAAATGGAGGATAGATGGGCAGGTGGCTGTGACTTGGGAAGTGATAGGAAGATGAAATGTGAGTCCCAGTATTCTGCCAGTTCAATCTCCCCAGATTGTGTCAACAAAGAAGGAACCAGCGGGGACCCAGAAGCTTCCCCATGGATATTTAAACCAGATGGGCAGCTACCACCACGAGGAACCAGAATGGATTCAGATCATTCAGCTGCGCTCCAGGGACTCCTACCAGCTAGACATGCAGCCTGTTTCCAGTCACTTCAGTCATTCTAAGTAAATGGCTCCCCCATTGTCCATGACTGAATTTTCGGGCCCTGTTTATCACTATTAAGGGGCTTAACTGTTGGTTGGGGGCAGGGGGTGTCACAAACTCAAGCGCCTCAGAGGCCTTGCAGGCAAAACAGACCAGGTCACATTCTTTGAACACAGACGGTGCTTCCATGTTATCAGACTTTCTTGAAACAAAAGACCCTCTCAATAAGTTCTTTTTAAAGAAAACACCGAAAGTCTGGTAATGATGGCAAATGACACAGCTTCAGCAACGAGAAAATGAGTGACAGGCGCTGTTGCCAATGGAGAGCAGGTGCTCCGTTTAAAATGAGCTCCAGAAAACTGCCTTCAAAAAAAAGGAAGCCAAAAATTCAGACTTTTACAAAGTCTTCTGATTTGTACATATTTTAAGCACTGCGTGAATGAAGCACATTTTTAAACCAAGAGCAGCTTGTGGGCAGCCACGTGCCAGCTCTCAGGTGGGGGACACTCGGTGGGTCTCCCTAGTCCTGCGGCAGAAGATCATTATAACCTGAGTGCACCGGCCACCCGAGGGCGAAGGCAGCAGACAGAAGGCGGAAGGACACCAAAGACAAACTTCTTCAGCTGCTCCAGGATTAGGTCTCCCATCCTCCTCCTTTTCCTTCTAAACTGCAGAAGTTGGTCCCCAGCACCCGAAATTCAGAAATGAATCCAATGTTACCGGTGTGATCACTTGTCTCGTTCTACATTAGGCAATCCTCTGCAGGTTCCTCTGGGAATTAAGCTGCCATGCATTACATTGTTTTTACAGGATCACGTGATTCTAATTCTGAGCAATATACCTTCAAGTGAACTTTGGGAACCCAAGCTGGAAATTAACCTGAATGCTGACAGTCACGGTTTCAGTATCTCAGGCTTAAGTCCCAGTATTCTCCAAATCATCAGTTTCAAAACTTCCCTAGTTTCAAAATTTCCCATTTCAAAACTTCTGTCATTCTCATCTATTCCTCCCTGTGCCCTTTCATTCTATTACTCGTCAGGTCTTATTGATTTTTTTTTAAAGAATATTTACCCATCGATCCTACAACCACTGCTCTAAGACAAGCCCTTCTCGCTTCACACCTCGCCTACTCACACCTAGCAGCCATCTCTGCACTGGCCTACCTGCCTTTTCACTCTCCACCTCCCACCTGTGTTATCAGCACTAGGTCCTAAAAGAAGAGCTTCCAGAAAAAGCTTCCAGGATCAAAACTTTGCAACACTGTCCTAAGGACTGTCCAGAGCCTCTGCCTCAGCTCTAAAATGCTGCTGTTACCTGGGTTCCAAATAAGATTTCATTTGAAAAATTAGATCTGCTACTATAAAATTGAAGACTAATGTCAAAAGCGAACGTTCATCTTGGAGTAGAGACAGTTAAATGTAAAAGATCAAGCAAAAAGACAATCCTTATGAATCTAAACATAAAACCATTTGGTGGTACCATTCTCAAAATTGTAATATTTGCATTTTTAGTATTAATGTTCTTTTTGAGCAGTACTTTTCTTTGTTACAATTGTTTAATGCGAAATTATTTACAAAAACAAGTTGCCCAGAGCAAACAGTTGTGTTTTGTGTGTGAAATCACTTATAATGGATTAGGTGAGGGTGCTGGAAGACCCCCAAATATAGCCAATTTTGGATGATAAGATAATATCAATACTTACAAGGCTTCTGTTAAAAAATTCAACTCTTTCCAAATCAAAATGACATGCATCATTTATTATCACGTCATGTCATGAATATGACATGAGTCATTTTCTTATTCTAGGTCATTATATCACAAAAATAATGTACCTCCTTTAAAATTGCAATACCTGTCATTTATACTGAAGCAACACTGCTGTAGTAGTAATTTCCAAACTTCTATAAATTTATTTATTTATTTTTGCTGTGTTGGGTCTTTGTTTCTGTGTGAGGGCTTTCTCTAGTTGCGGCGAGCGGGAGCCACTCTTCATCGCGGTGCGCGGGCCTCTCACTATCGTGGCCTCTCTTGCTGTGGAGCATAGACTCCAGACGCGCAGGCTCAGTAGTTGTGGCTTACGGGCTCAGCTGCTCCGCGGCATGTGGGATCTTCCCAGACCAGGGCTCGAACCCGTGTCCCCTGCGTTGGCAGGCAGATTCTCAACCACTGTGCCACCAGGGAAGCCCCCAAACTTCTAGAGTAGAGTGCAAAGGTGTTTTAAAAGTCCTCTTCTAGAACACTCCTTGATTCCCTAAGTGTTTCCTTACCCTAATATTACGGGATGAAGTGCCGCTGTAGATGCCTTCACTCCATTACTTCCACGCTGTCTGATGAGGATCACCTTTGCTGGGGGAAAGGTGACTCATTTCATGCTCCGTCTAATACATATGCCTCATGTCTAATGATATCACAGATGCACAGAGCTTCACACCTTAAACGACTTAATGAGAGACTCCTAAGCATTAGATGTGTGACAAAAATCAGGTGTGATGTTAACACACTTGAATGAGGTGATCATAGGAGAGAAAGCATTCATTTTAGAGATAAAAGATAATTTTAGAGGTAAAACAGCAGTTGCAGCTTGTATTACTCAGAGTAAAAAATGTCGAATCATACCTTATGGGTACAACTCTTGCACCTGCGGATTCCAGATACTTTACATAGGATGCAGCAATATAGTATTTTCCCAGGATTTTCATGTTCTCACTATGGCACGTTTGCATTAATATTCCTAAATTACAAAAAAAAGAAGTTTCACTTTCAAGCAATTTCCTTTTTTCCTGCTCAGAAACTGAAACACATCACCCTAGAAATGTCACTACTCTACTCATTTAATTCACAGAATTAAATATGAAGCTTCTCCCGAAAGCACGTCTATAGAATTTGGGAAAGGAGTAGTGGAGGCTGATCTGAGTTTTAAGTAGCCTTCTCTCTTGCCTCATTAGGGAGGCCAAATAAGCCCCCAAAGTAGGTCTACAATAGCACCAGCCTTTTTCACAAAAGCTAGAATCAACTTCAGAGTACAGATCCTTCAGTCTAGAAGGAGGCCTCTCCCTTCCCACACACACACACACTCTAAGGCACATCGTTTCCTTGACAACAAAGTAAAGGAGTGAAAGTATCTTCTATCCATATCTCTCCAACATCATCACCACCACCTTGATCCAAGCAACTAATATCTTGCGTCCCCCCGACCCCAGACTATTATAATAGCCCCTTAAAAGGTCTCTCTGCATCCTTTCTTAAGCAACTGTCTTCCAACTCCAACCAGTTCTCCACATGGAAAGAAATCCGATGACATCACCATTCACTGTTTTGGCATATATTACTGAATCATACTATATACCAGGCACTGAACTAGGTGCTGGGGACACATGAGTGAACTGAACAAACCAAATCCCTGCTTTGTGGGCTTTAATTCCAGTGTGCGGAAGGGAGAGAAGAGAGGAAACACAGTAAACAAGATCAAAAGGGTAAACAATAGTGTGATGGCTGGTGGTAAGAGCCGAGAAGAAAAGTAAAGCAGCAGAAGAAGGTGTGTGTTTGGGGAAGGAAGGATTGGGTAAGTTCCAATCTACAGGAAAGAAGAAAGTCTCTTAAATGCGGTGGCCAGGCAAGTCCTCTCTCAGAAGGTAGAACATGACACTGTCGGCAGGACTTCAGAGAGGTGAGGGAGTCAGCCATATGCGGGTATCTGGAGGAAGACGGTTCCAGGGTGAGGGAACAGCAAGTGCAGAGACCCCGAGTCGGCTCTGTGCCTGTCCCGCTGCAAGGAGTGCCTGTGACTAGAGTCCTGTGTTGGCAAGGGGACAAAGTGACAGCAAAGGAAATCAGAGAGAGAAGAGAGAGAGATCAAAGCAGCAGGGGTACCTCCTTGCCTGAGCACTTCGATGGGTTCCTAAACTTTCACAAACTCTACAGACCCTGATGCTCGGGCACACCTACCGCTCTGGCTGCCTCTTACCCCTGAAACCTCAGCCCCAGCACAGCACTGGCATCCAGGACACATCAAAACACATCTCTCCGGAGAGGATACCTGTGCCTGTATCGCTCACTACTTCACCATTTGGAACACCTTCAGTGTCTCTGCAGGCCACCTGACAGGCAGGGCCGTCCTTATCAGTCAGTCACCTGTATCCCCAGCTTCTTACAATAACTGGTATTCATCAGGCACTCAGTTAACATATATGCCACATGCCAAACTTTGTTCAGTAAGACTGCTTTTCTCCTCATGGAGCGGTAAGATCGCCCTTATTAAGGACAATAACAACTGGCAGGGAAATAATTAGGGACTGTCGTAGGAAACGGAGTGGTTACAGGACAGGCAAGGATGAGGTGCCACAAAGGCGGGCTGGGGACATGTGGACACAAGGTACTAGAAAGGAGGAAAGTACATTAGAGTAGGTAAGTTCCACCAACTTCTCCCCCGCCCCCTCTCCATCCTGGGACAAGAGATCGGCTATATTCCCCGCCCCTCAAAATGGGACCAAAATTCTACCCATACTTTGAGGCCATCTCATGAATTTCGCGGCTTCTTTTCGTTGATCCTTTGCACTCCTAACTCAGTGCCTTGCACACAGGTATTCAGTTAACTATTTTGTCCTAACTGATCAGGGTAAACCAAAAGCTTACTTACTTTTTCTATATTTGACCCTGGACTTGTTTCCTAGAAACCACTGTTTCTAGCAAAGGGAAAACAATCACTCCTCTTCTTCCCTTCTTCCCTCCCCTCTGCACCCACAATTCCCAGCACCCTACATGAGATTATACTTTGAGTTAATTCCCCTGGGAGATTCTAACCACTATTTTAAGTAGCTTATAAAATAAGGCATTCCGGGTTCCAAATACTGATACACAACACATTTGAAAACTGGGCACTACCAATATACACGAAAAAATGCTCATCTACTTTCTATTTAGTCACACAATACAGTGCCCATCTTCGGGGTGGGGGGGAACACACAAAAAACAATATGAAAGGCATAACACTACAGCTAAAATGAGACCATTTTACCTGTCCACACACAAGTTACTTTCTGCAAATTTAAAATCCGGGCTGATTTCTCCTGGGTTGCTTTCCCCTGCCCAGTATCAAATGTCTATTCTGGCAATGCAAATTGATTTTACTCTCTTTTTAAAACATACATTTGTCGAAAACGAAAAATGACATGCTTCACTTTAACACCGAACAGAACTGCCATTAGGATCACACCAGCCGCTGCTGCCCTCCTCTGCTGGAGATGACAAAGACCAAGGTATACCATTATTTCTTGATTATCTAGCCAATTCGATTTTTATACGTTATAATGCATCGTTCCGCGAAATGCGCCCTCAGCCGGTGAAATTTTAATAAAGATAATGCATGTATAGAATTCGTTTAATCAGTAGAAATTCCTAGCTAAGTACAAACAAACCATCCGCAGGATTCTTCACAGTGCACCTTCCTCCCTTCCAATTTTAAGAGCCTTGGAGTTGAGGAATCAACGAGGCATTAATTAGCTATATTTCAGCACGATCCAAATGATGGCTTGGCCCCTGTGCTACACAGGAAGGCACACATCCTAACCCTGAACTTGGCTCTTCTAGGACAGGACGCAGCCGCCGGAGCGCAGCTGCTGGAAGCGCCCACCGCGGTCCCGGCCCCCGGCCCCCGCCGCCTCCTCACCGATGATGGGCTTCTTGGAGGTGGGGGCGGGAGAAGCGGACAGCCCAAGGCTCGCCGCCCCGCACAGGACCAGGCCCAGCACTCTCAGCAGAAGACCCAAGCTCGCCATCGCGCTCGCCGCCTCCCGCCGCCTTTCAAAGGCACTGCCGGCGCGCAGCCAAGTGACCCAACCCCGGCCTCCCGGCCGATCCAGGGCTTAGGGCGAGGGCGGTGCTCCACTGCAGGGGCCTATGGGAAAAGCTGTCCCGGCGCGTGCGCGCGGCTGCCGCGGGGCGGGGCCGGGGCCGGGGCCGGGGCGGGGCCGGGGCGGGGCCGGGGCGGGGCCGGGGCCGGGCGGCTTCTGGGTACCAGAGACCCTGCTCGCCCCATCACGGCGCCGCCGCCGCGCCCCCGCCCCCGCCGCGCCTCGCCGCGCCTGCGGAGACTCGGGAAAGTGCCGGGTGGGCACGGGGCGGTCTCCGCGTCCTCGAATCTGCCCTTTCAGTTGTTTTCTCGACGTGACCTTAAGTCACCCAGAGCTAACTGGGGCGCCCGGTCCAGCGGTCGAAGGGGAACCGCAGAGTCTCTGCCTGACCGAAATGGTAACCTGGCAGCAGGGGAAGCTGGCGAGAGGTTCTAGAAGTCGCCTGAGAACTTTGCGCCATCGGCAGCCCCTGCCTAAAATCGTCGGGAGCTGCTAAAATCGTCTTTAGGAAGGCTGGCAGTCAAGTTTGACACCCCAGCGTTCCATACAAGGATGTACGGTGACTTAGGAGGTAATTTCCACATCTTGCCATTTGTGTTCAGGGTCGAGGCTTATGGACGATACGAAGGGAAGACGAGGGAAGGACGATGGATGCGAACACGTCCATGGACGCACCGCCCCAGCCCCGAGCTGGGTCGGCCCACCGCTGGCATCGTGGCAAAGGGGCAAGGCCAGGCCAGACCCGCAGACGGTGCCTCCTAACTTCAATGTTGACCCCAAGCACAGACTGTCCTACAAACGGGGCAGAAAGGATGACTTGGGTTCCTAGTCATTAGAAGTTTTTTGAGGTTTCTGTTTAAAATTTTAAAAGAGATTTAGAAACACTAGGCATATTTTGGTGGGAAAGTAGATGAAAGAGTGAAAACCAAAATATAAAGATTTGGCTTATACTAGGTGAGTGTTCCCACCTATAAGGGTCAAATTCAGAATAAAATTGAAGAGTGTTTGAAAATCAACTCAATGGCAAGTATGGAGGATGCAAAGACGAATTGGACAAAGTCTGTTTTCATAAGTTTACAATTTAGTAAGGAAAAAAGAGAACAGGACTTGTGGAGAGAACGTATTTCAAGAAGAGTGAATGCAATATGTAGTCCGGTTTGGCAAGAAAATAATGCTGCTGTAGAAGGGCATGATGAGTGATAAGCTCCATGGGTGCGGTAAAAGATGTTGTGAAAGGCCTCACATTCTCAGCTGGTTTTGAACACAATTGAACAGAACCTTTGTAAGTGTGAATTTGTGGTACTGGAGAAATTGACTCTCCACATAGGAAAAAATTAAAGTATTACCTGGCAAAAATACAAAAATAAACTCCAGGTGAGTAAAGATGTAAATGTAAAAGGCAAAATATTATACTTTGATAAGAAAATATAGGAGTGTATGTTCATGACTTTGGTGGTCAGCAGGATTTCATACAACATTATATTTTAAAAAAGACATCTTAGTGGAAAAAAACGTAGATTTAATGATGCTATAATTTGAAAACTTCTGTGTAACTAAGTAAATTAAAGATAAGGCACAAACTTGGAAGGTATATTTACAAAACACAGAATTTCAAAAGTGTTCATTTCTAGCACATACTGAAGAACTAAAATCAACAAGGAAGAAAAACAACCTAATAGAAAAATTGGAAAAGAATATGAAAAGACAAATCAGACCTTCACTAGTCATCAGGGAAATGCAGATTAAAGACAAGATAATATGTCACATCCATCAGTATGACAAAAATGTGAACCTAAGTCAAGGGTGTAGAGAAATAAGAATTCTCTTAACACTGCTGGCAGAATTGTAAAGTATTACAACTGTTTTTGAGAGCAATTAGGCAATATCTGGTAAAGGTGAAGATGCACATATTCTGTAACACAAACACTTTTTAGACTTAGGTATGTACCCTAGAAAAAGGCTTGCATGTGTGAATAAATATATACAAGTATGTTCTTTGTAGCATTTTTTTGTAATAGTGAATTATTACATGCAACTTACATCATTATCAATAAAAGAATGAATAAATTGTACAATAGATAATTATGATGCATGAAAATTAATAAGTTGGAGCTGCTTATGAACAGAGTTAAATTTCTTTTAATAAGAAATAATAGGGACTTCCCTGGTGGTGCAGTGGTTAAGAATCCGCCTGCCAATGCAGGGGACACAGGTTCGACCCCTGGTCCTGGAAGATCCCACATATCACGGAGCAGCGAAGTGCTCTAGAGCTCGCGAGCCACAACTACCGAAGCCCACGCGCCTAGAGCCCATGCTCTGCAATAAGAGAAGCCACCGCAATGAGAAGCCCACGCACTATAACAAAGAGTAGCCCCTGCTCTCCGCAATTAGGGGAAGCCTGTGCACAACCAAAAATTAATTAATCAATCAATTAATTAATTAACTTTAAAGAAATGAAACAACAGATAAGTTATGCTGAGGTCCAGAGGATGTCAACGGCCTGAACCAGAATCTGTCCACACAGCTCAATAAAAAAACCCATGAGGTGTACAAAGAGTACAAATAAAGTTACACATGATTCATGAGATACTAGGAGTTGGAGGGTATCACAAACATCAAATTACCAGAAAATTTGGTAAGTAGCAAACTTCCTCCACTGCTGCAAGACTCTAGATGCTGAGAGTAGAAGATGCAGGGCTTCAGAGAATCTTGGAAAAAGAGGAAAGAGTAGTGGATGATATAGACATAGCATAGGCAAAATCAAACCCTGAGAGAAAATGTCAAACATTAAGTGCCAAAAGACTGAACACAGCCTGGGTCTTGGAAGGTTATAGTACTGGCTCTCAGGAAGGAGCCAGAGGTGGCAGCTTCAGATAAACATTGCTTCTGAGGGGGACACAACTGCATTGACAAGGGGGTAGTGTCCTTTAAAGGCACGACGATGAAGGGAAAGAAGGAGGTAAGGGGAAAAATGAAGAGAAGTCATGCCAGCAGCCCCACCTCACCTCCACATACACACAGCTGCCACCACTAAAAGCGTCTGTTAGAGGAATTGCACTTCACTGTACTGGCACAATAAAACACTTTCAACTAGGAAGGGTCTACAGAAGGCCTTTTTTTTTTTTTTTTTTTTGGCCGCACCATGCGGTTTGTGGGATCTTAGTTTCCCGACCAGGGATCGAACCTGGGCCCACAGCAGTGAAAGCACAGAGTCGTAACCACTGGACTGCCAGGGAATTCCCCAAAAGGCCTATTTTTAAAAAGAATCAAACCAACACAAAACTACTCAGAAGAAAACAGAGAAGGTGAATGGTAACATTTCACCTAATGAAAATTCTCCCCCAAGGAAACAGACAAACAAGCAAACAAAACCATAAGACCAAGCTCCAAATTAAAATTAAATATCCTTAAGCAAGTGTTAGATAATACTGTGCACATATCAAATCTAGACCAGAAGTTTACAGCCCAAGAACAGAAATGGACAAAAATGGGATATAAGTGGTAAATATCTATACATGTACACATAGGTAAGATAGAAATACAGAGATATATCTTAACCCAAACAGAGATACTACTTAGCCCAAAAGAAAAATCAGTGGAACTGTTTGCAGTTGTGTAGAACTGGGAAAAATATTGGAAAATATAAAGTACATGCTCATAGCTCAGCACACGTGACATGTGCCGAGTTCTGGAATGGTACCAGAGACTAGAAAGGCTGAGTAGGAAAGGGAGTGAAACATTGAGTTGTCTTGCAGAGCATTGGAGATAAAGTCCCATCGGAGGGGGAGGGAGCCTGAAACAAACATACAGCAGAACTCCACTTCCAGACACTTGCCATATTTTGAATCTGCAAAGGGTAGGAACTAAGTTTAGATTGGCAAAAGGCAGAATTTTCAAGGCTAAGAGAAAAGAAAATATCCAGGGTACCAATCAAAAACCCAAGTGGACCAATCCTGAAGAATGGGAATGAACCAGAGATAGACTGAATCCTCCTAAGTCTGCAGCCCAGCTCAAGACCTGATTGGATTTACTTGCCTTTCATGCTATCTGACAAAAGAAAGGAAGAGTCATCACTTGATGGGAGGTATTACCTGGAGCCTCTATTAGTTAAACACAATGACCAACATAAAATGTTACTAAAAATACGAAGAAGCAGAAATGTGTAATAATAATCTAAAAAGAAGGGTGAAATAGGAGACCCATAGATGGGAGTTAGAAGAAAAGACTTCTATTTTAATTTTGTATTGAAATATAGTTGATATACAATATTATGTTAGTTTTAGCTGTGCTACATAGTTATTTGATATTTGCATACATTATAAAATGTTCACCACAGTAAGTCTAATAACCATCTGTCTCCCTACAAAGTTATTGCAATATTATTACTTATGCTGACATCTGCATGGCTTATTTCTTTTCTTTTTTTTTTTTCCTCCCTCCCTCCCTCCTTATATCTTATTTAAGTGGAGGTTTGTACCTCTTAACCCTCTTCACCTATTTTGCCCTTCCACCACCCTCCCCTCTGAACAACCATTGGCTTGTTTTCTGTATCTGAGTCTGTTTTCATTTTGTTTGTTTTGTATTTTAGATTCCACATATAAGTGAGATCATACAGTATTTGGCTTTCTCTGTCTGACTTATTTCACTTAGCATAATACTCTCTAGATCCATCCATGTTGTCACAAATTGCAATATTTCCTTTTTTATGGCTGAGTAATATTCCATTGTATATGTATACCACATCTTCTTTATCCATTCATCTGTCAGAGGACACTTAGGTTGCTTGCATGTGTTGGGTATTGTAAATAATGCTACAGTGAACATTGGGGTGCACATATCTTTTTGAAGAGTATTTTTGTTTTATTTGGAGAAATGCCTAGAAGTAAAATTGTTGGATCACATGGTAATTCTATTTTAAATTTTTGAGGACTCTCCATACATTTTTCCATAGTAGTGGTGCCAATTTACATTCTACCAACAGTGCATGAGAGTTCCCTTTTCTCCACATCCTTGCCAACACTTGTTATTTGTCATTGCTTTGATGATA